CATTTTCCAATTCAGGTGTTCTGCTTCCTTCTTTAAACTAAATACGGAGGCATCTGGGTCTGTTTGCGTGTGGTATACAAGCTGTAGTGAGCCAAAGCAGTTCCTGATTCACAAAGCCCATGCTTTCTGCTCCCCCCCAGTTGGAAGTAAAGATGCAGGTGGAGTACATGTCCTTCAGCGCCCATGCGGATGCCAAGGGAATAATGCAGCTGATTCGCCAGGCTGAGCCGCGAAATGTTCTCCTGGTCCATGGTGAAGCAAAGAAAATGGAGTTTCTGAAGCAGAAAATAGAACAGGAATTTCGTACGTATAGTGTTGGTACTGAAGAGGGAATGGCAGTAGAAGGAAGGCATTGAAGTTCACGTACTTAATCCACTGGACCTCAGCCTAGAGTAAGGCGTACTGTAATTTACAGGACCAGTCACCCTCGAGAAACTAGTATCCGTAACATATCTTACTTAACATGTTAAGCCCATTTAATTTTAATGTCCATTTGGACTTGAAGTAAAAGTGGTTTTAATATGTCTGTATTGTTATAGTTCAGCACTTACTGAATTTACATTTCTTTAGACTCCTAGAAGAAGCCGAGGCAGGCAGGGTATATCTGAAATTATAAGTTAGCAACTTCACTTGCTAACAGGGAATGAGCTCCAGAAAAAAAAAAAAATTAATTCCTTGGAAACAGCTGACTTTTAAATGATGAGTGGAGAAAGCATAGAATTCACATTGGCTGGTTACTTACTGTCTGCAGATTTTGACATCAGAGTGCGGGCAGTTTTGTTGCAGTCTGTTTTCTTTTTACCCCTCACAAGGAGTTAAGGATAGCTGGGCTAGCAGGTATTGCCCCATTGGGGTTTTGATGGTTCTGGTAAGGTTGTTAGCCTTAAGTCTGAGCAGCAGTTCTACTTTTCAGCCTCTTTCAAATCCCTGGTATTAAGTTTCAGCAGATCGCTATTAAACTTCCCTTCCTGTCCTGAACAGCTGCAATAGGCTTCTGCCAAAATCACAGCACCGTCTACTCTAGGGATGCTTGCACCCTGCTTGTGGGTGAAATGACAGTCTGGGATTGGAAATGCTGCTGCAGCAGTCCTTCTGACACTGGCTGTTTACCTTGCAGACGTCAACTGTTACATGCCTGCAAATGGAGAGACCACAACAATATTCACCAATCCCAGCATTCCAGTGGACATATCCCTGGGACTCTTGAAGAGAGAAACAGCAATAGGTGACACGTTTTCAACCAAGAATTTAATCTTTTGGGCCCTGCCACTGTGTTGTATAGTACTTGCCTAAGGTGGAAACAGTGGTGCAGGGCCATTTGTAGCAATGGTGACTTACAGCAGCGCTTCCTGTAAAAGAACAGGTTTTATGAGCATTTAGTGGTTGAGAGGGCTTCCTGTGAAATGTAGTGGCTACTAAGCTGTGAATGTGTATTCAATAATGTTTAAAAACACACACACACATTCTACCTTGTTTGCTACTCATTGCGCATTCACTGTGAAAACAAAGTCCATGAATGCTTTTACTAGCTAGGTCTGTGAAAACTGGAATTACTTTTATAAACCAAATTTAAGAAGAATCTAAAACCTCTCAAATCAGGAAGTGATATGGGAAGAGAGGCGGGGGGGTGGTTTGTGTTTATTAATGTTTATGTGTCTAGAGCACTGACAATGGTTTAAGCACCATGCACTTTAACAGACAGGAGAACAAAGATGTAAAATCTTTGTCTCTGAACCTCAGCAGGGACTCAGAAATCCAATCTATGAAGTCCTATAGCAGTCGTCTTGTGTGAAAAGTAAGCACATCACCGTTAAACCATATCGCCTTTCTCTTCTGTTGGCCTTGGTTTAGGTCTCTTACCAGATGTCAAGAAGCCAAAGCTAATGCATGGCACATTAATTATGAAGGATAACGTAAGTAAAAAAGTTCTTATGTTTGTCTTGTATCCTCTGAATGAGTGTGGTGTTATAATTCGTAAGTGAGGTCTGGGTGAACAAGGAACTAAAATAAAGGTAAGCAGTCTTAGTTTCCTGGAAAGAGCCCAGTAACAGCGTACCTGGGAAGATTAATCTGTAAGACAGACTCTTCAGCTTGTCAGTTGTCTTGACTGATAGTCTTCACTAGTCCCACAATTTCAGAATTAGTATCTTGCTGTTCACGAGCAGGGTGTTGTGGAGGTAGGATTTTTACTGGTCAGTCTCATGAATGCTCACGGCTGAAGTCACAGGAAATGGATAAATTTGAAGAGCTGCTTCTGCTCAAAGTCTGGTTTTTGCCCTGGCCCCCTGCAGCCTACTGGGTGCAGCTACAGCCATTCCAAGGCGGCTGTGGTTTTCAGCCTGTGAATCCAAGGTGTTTCTGATTCACTGTGCCTGTAAAAATCAAAAGAATCAAGACGCAGCCTGTTGTTGGAAGACCTCAGTTTGTTGGACAAGGATGGAAAGGTGCCAAGGGAGGAGTTCTTACTCTGTAACCTCATGTTTCTATTTAAACAAATCATTCCCCCTGATGAAGAGGTTAAACCAACTTCCATTCAGAGAACAACTTTAATTTTGGGAAATAAAGAATTGGTATGATTATTTAAGTGGACACTTTGCCACCATCTTACCTCTACCTTTGCTGTCCATCATATGCTCATGCCTAGCTGCTACTGCTTGCTGAAATGTGCCGAGACATTTCAGAGACTGAAAAGGAATGATCTTACCTGCTGGAGTTCTGCAGTGATGAACACATACCTGTGTGCAGCTGACCACAGAGGAGGAGTAAAACTTCAGAAAGCGCAAAGAAATGGCTTATAATGGATTTGTACTTTTCCTCTGCAGAGCTTCCGTCTGGTTTCTCCTGAGCAGGCTTTGAAGGAGCTGGGCCTTGCAGAACATCAATTGCGTTTCACCTGCCGTGTTCACATTCAGGATCCGCGGAAAGAACATGAGACAGTGCTTCGTGTATATAACCATCTCAAAGGGTAAGTCCATTCCTAGCTGCGTTTGCTTTTTTCTCCCCTAGGGATGGACCTGAGCTTGTAACTCTTAATGTAGGTAGTACAAGTGCCCCCTCCTTTCTGCCCTTCCAGACCAGCCCCAGAGAGTTATTAAGAGAAAATTCTCTGCGGCCCAGAAGACACAACTGCTCTAGATTTCAGTCTGTATAGCTAACAAAACCAGAGCAGTGGTTACACTGCAGAGGCTGGTAATCGGCCTACAAGCTCGTGGTCTTTGCCAAGGTAGAGCAGACCACCTGAAATCTTTGTTCCTGTTGGTTTGTTGCTGTCACTACTGCTTCTAGCTGAAGTTAGTACAATTGTTTGGAGTGAGATCATCAAGCATAGGGTCAAGACACCTCTTAAAGCTATTCAAAAGCTAGCAGCAGATGAATCTTAAAAGCTATTTTCTTCCTATAGGCAGCTGGTCGATTCTGTGAGTAGTCCTTTGCCCAGATGAATAGGGTTCACTGGAGCTATAGCTATCACGAAAGCCAGAAAATTCTGTAGGAAATCCTACATGATTAATATAAGCACCAAAATAAGCAAGCTATGAATCGGCCCCATTCTCCCTTCCTTGGGCAGTGGGTGCTGGCTCAGAGACACAGCTAAAAGTAGCAACAACATGCTGCTGTTGGGGATTCAAAGATACAGAGGGTGTCCCACCCTTCAGCTTGTATGCATGTCCCATCCAAAATAAATCACCTATCATCTTCTCTCTTACCAGGGTCCTGAAAGATTATTCAGTGCAGCATCTCCCTGATGGTTCTATAACAGTAGAGTCCATTCTTATCCAAGCCACAGCACACTCAGAGGATCAAGGAACCAAAGTTCTGCTCGTATCCTGGACTTACCAGGTAAGGAATACTTGAAAACATACTTTTCAAGCAACTCTGATCTTAACTAACTCCTTACAGTCCAGAACTGTCCTACAATGTGGGTTGCTATTGTAAGGGTGAGTCTTCATCACTCTGTTTTTGAAGTAGTTTGACTGGAAGAAGATGAGGTGAGTCACGGCCATTTTCTTTACCATTTTAGGTTTAGTACAAATCCTTTTACAGGAGCTTTACTGAGTCAGTTTTCTCTGGGACCACTGAATTCAAGACAGCTGATCTGGAGTAATTACACTTAGTACAGTTACAATTAATTACAATTATGTTTGTGTTTTGAGGACACTGTGCTATCCAACTTCCAAACTCTCAGCTGTATCACTACTGCAATACAGAGTGTGGAGGTATTTTGTTTTGTATTTCTTAGATGTAGAACTTCAAACAAGAAGCAGAAAGCTAGCTAACGCAAAATTGTGTAAGATTAGACATAGTTGTCATGTCTTCTTCCTTTCAAAAGTATACTTTCTATGGCTGTATTTTTAAACGCTTTCTTTACAGCAAGGAAATGCCTTCTTGAGGGCAAAGCAAAAAAACTCCCAGAACAATGGTTCTTTATTCTTTGCTTTCAAGAAAAATGGCCATTTTCCTCAAAAGAGACACCTCGGGTCTAGACACCTACTTTGACAAATGCAAGTTTTACACTGATACTTTGAAAGAACACCCAAAAGTGCATTTGTGCTAACTGGATTTGTTTCCATTTTTGAACACTGCTAACATTGGATTTTGCTGGGTCCAAGAATTATTTCAGTCTATTTCTAGGTACCAGAGTCGAATTTATTGCCCCAAATGGAAAGTGAAGTGGAAGACTGCTTTCATCCTGTTTCTCTTTATTCTCTCTAGGATGAAGAACTGGGCAGCTACCTCACATCCCTTCTGAAAAAAGGACTGCCACAGAGTACATCGTGAACAACAGAGCAGCAGGCACAGCGGCGTTTCGGAGAGATTTAGATTTTATTTTGTTTACATTGTCAGTGTGGTTTTTCTGGTTTTGTTTTAATAAAGGAATTACAGTGTTTCTCCAATTACAGCAGTGACAGTGTACACCGTTCAGCAGTACTGCGATCTTCTCCTATTGGAAACCTGCCCGGGGAGTCATTACAGCCTGTTTTTAGACAATCCTGAGGAACAAGCTTTGAGTTGCTTGTGCAATAAGGTAAAAGATATTCAGCGTTCTTCCCCTCACAAAGCTCATTTTCCTTAAAACCACCGCAGTCCTGTTCTCTACTACAGTGATTTTCTGTGCAGTATCTATGCTTTCGGTTTGTCCCCAAAAATAAGTAGAAGCAACAGCCATGCACTGACCTAATTCCTGGACCCTCTGCATGGGATGAAAGAGCTCACTTGCGTCAGGTTTGTGAACGGGGGGATTCCCTGACTTGTCAATAAAGGGGGACCAGCCCTACATGATGCTAACGTGGGTAGATAAACGCAAGCCTGAGGGGTCAAAACAAGGAGCTTTCAGAGCTTCACAACTAAAATGCAAAGTGTAAGTATAATGGAGGCAAGAGTATAAAGCCCTAAACATGCTATTTACCCAGCAGCGTAACTTTTTTTTATTATCCATACTTCCCTCAATGACAGCTGACAAGCCTGCAAAGAAAGCTGCACTCTGGATGGAGTCACCAATGAAAATTTTTCTTCCTCTGTCCAGAACATAAAAATTGTGCTTAGTTGGAAAGAACAGTCCCTCCATGGCTGGGAAGTTTTTCCATAGCCTATAAATGGGACAAAAATAGCAGTATCTCATGAAAGGTAAAAGATTAATTTGTCCTAATACTCCCTCAGAGGCTTCCTCATCTCCATTTTACAAGTGCAAGGGTTTGCACTTGTCTTACCAAGCAGAGGAACACAGGAATCATTATTTTCAATATTTTAAAAAAGTTTGAGCAGGTTTTCTCACCGTTATTCAAAAAAGTTCCTCCAAGCTAAGAGCAAAAGACAGAAATGGAGAGGTCAGTGGCTGACCCATCATTAGTAATAGGTGTCCATGCAAACTGCAAAATAACTAATTCAAGTCAGGCCCATCCTAACAAACAAATGTAATACTGCACCCACAAAAGCCATCTATGGCAAAGCTTTAGCTCTATTATAATAATTTCAGATCTGCTCTTGGTTTGCTTGCTGCATGCATCTCAGATGCTAAGTGGTTTATTGACTGGCTTTAACTGATCCAATACAGCCTCCCAAATTCAAGACCCTTGCTTACCATCATCACGTGTGGTGTTTTTCCACAAACCGAGACCCCAACATACCATGCTGCTTATTTTCCAAACCTCTTACCTCCTGTCCTTAACCAGAGAGTAGACTGTGGCATCGGCTGCCATCAGAAAATTGGCTGAATATGGGCAGAAGGTGCAACATCCATTGTTGTGCAAAGAGAAGTTACTACATCATATAGAGAGGCACGATCGTTTATCTCCCCACACCATTCTGCCACAATAATCCTACTCTCCCCCTCCTTTAAGGTCCATGGCAGTTCTTGTTCCAAGTGCAATAGCATAACTTGGGAACCCCAACCACCTGCTGCGGCGTGCCAGGTCAAAGTGTGACTTTTAGCCTGCATTTTGCACATTTGGAAATTGAAATACTGATTTTGCCAGAGTTAGGCATACCTTGTTCCCTGTTGAACAAGCCCCAGGACAATTTCCCTTCTGTTCTCATCTGCTCAGCAGCCTTGCACGCCTACAGGCCAATAGCATATATGCACTTCATAAAGTTTGGGGGTGGCATGGGAAGGAACAGAACAGTGAGTCTGTATATCCGTTATCAAAAGTCACATCCTGTTAAGTAAACTGCTGGCTTTTAAGCAGGTTTGTCAGCCAGGCCAGTGGTTTTCCGGTGTCTCTGATAACCCACAAATGATAAACTCTCTCCACAGTCTCATGTTTCACAGGGTGGAAAACGCAGCAGTTGTCAGCAGCTGTGTGGTTCTGTCAATATAAGAGAAAGATTGAAATAGGTCTGATAGATACATTTTGTGATATAATTACAACGACTGAAAAGAGAGCTTTGACATTTGAACAGGACTGCACAGCGTAAGGAGTCGTGCCAGCTCCTACGGTAACTTCCCTCAATGACTGTGTGGCAAGAAGGGCTTGTTTACCTCTGCTCCTGCACAGGGTTAACCGACTGATAAATACTTAGATCTGTTCTCTTCTAAACTTGCATTAAGAGATGTCCAGCTTGAATCCATAGGCGTGCAATGCTAGAAACCCTGTACCGAAATGCTCCTCAGGAAGGCAATCAATTGATTCACAAGAAGGGATGAGAAGCCCTTATTTGGCTGTGGAATGTAGGCAGAAAGCAGTTTCTGAACCCAGCTGGCTACAGTGTGCCCCCGGGGAGAAAACACAGGATCCCTCCAAAATAGGGAAAAGCCAAGCAGGACTGCCCTGATCCACTCAGCTTTCAGCAGTTAGTGTCAGTTAGGAGGCTGGTTTCTTTCAAGTAACCCTTTCCTGGGCTGTACCGCCTTCCAGAAGAGAGCCCTGTGTTCTCCTACCAACCCCAAAGTTAAACAAAAGGACACCAAAACATCGACGTACATGAACACAGCATGTTTTACCGTGTGCTCTCTAGGACTGTCAGAGAACACAGCTCTCCCAAGTACTGTCCTGGTCGGCTAATAAAAATAGATAGCTGTTAGCCACATCCCTCCAGTCTAGCCTTGATGTAACAACCGCTGTATGAAAGAACGGTAGGTTTCACAAGTTTGTTTTCAAAGAAACAGTTGGAAAGATGAATACTGTACTTACTTTAAGTAGATCAGTTGAGTCCATCTCTGTGTTTTTCACTTCCATGTCTCTGTTGTAGTTTATAAACATAGGAGGACTCCCCAAATATCTGGTCACTGATTGTGTACACCATTTTAGACCTGAATCTGAGCTTGAAGTTGAAGTGCCATTGCTTGCTGGAAGAGCTGAAGTAGTACAAGAGCGGGTTAAGGCAACAGTTGAAACTCACGAGGGCTAAGGTGACCCTTCGCATTTTGTAGATCAAGTTGGTAAATGACTTGATGACCTGGATTCTCATTAAAAAGTGGAGCAAGTGAGTGAGATGATACGGGAGAAAGCACAAAGTACAAATGACCAAGATGATGTAGATGGTGCGCAGGGCCTTCCTCTTGTGAATGCTGTGTTTGATCTGGGAGATCCTCTTAGCAATGAGAGCGTAGCTGATCAGAATGATGGAAAATGGGATCACAAAACCAAAAACTAAGGCCAGGATGTTGTAAGGTGCCATGCGATAAGTCCAGCTACGCGTAGCAAAGTTCTCAAAACACACGGTCGTGTTCCTCACACCACTGTTGTGGAGGGGACCTCCAAGGATAAGTGGAACCATGATGCTTAGAGCAACCACCCAAAGGACCGTGACCACCGCCACATAATGGATGACTTTGATCTGGACATACCTGAAGGGGTGCAACACTGCAATGTAGCGATCAACACAAATGCAGGTGAAAAAGGCAATGCTTAGATAGATATTGATATAGTACAAAGTCCCAGTTATCCTACAAGCCATGTCACCAAAGGTCCAATTGTTCCGATTCAGGTGGTAATGAATTTTAAAAGGCAGCACACAAACAAACAAGGTGTCCACCAGAGCTAGATTAATCATGTATACATAGGAATGAGAAGCATGCTTTACTTTGCAGGACAGGAGGTACAGAGCTAAGACATTTTCTATCAGTCCCAGCACGAAGACAAGGCTGTAGATGACCGTAAACAAGGAATACTGGAAGTCTGCTTCCAAGCTGCATTCTGAACTGGCATTGGCAACTGTCTCACTGGAGACTCCTTCAGGCCAGGAAATATCTGCCATGATTGCTGGAGTGCAGGGATATCCAACACAGGATAAAAGTCTTAAGCTGTCCCTTACCTCAGGAGGTTCTTGAGTTTTATTTCATCTCGAGTGGGTAAGAGCTGAAGCTGCACAACTGAGCGATGTTAAGTCTGGTGAAGTCTGTGGCTCAGAGGTCCGCGCTTGGTATGTTTAGATGGAAAGCAGTGTTGCTGTAAGGGAGAATAAATCATTTTAAACACAAGCATTTGAAGTTTACACAGTAGACAGATTATTTACTGGCATTAAAATCATCACGAGATGACAATACTGAATTATCAGGTAGCGATTTCCTCCCCGTAAAAAAAAAAACAAACCACAAACCAAACAAAAACCACGTAGAAGGCTGTAGCTTTGGCTAAGGGTGGGCCAGCAATTGAAGCCGTACAGGAGAGCTTCAGCAGTGATACACCTTTGGAGGTCCTGTAATTAATTTCCCATTCCTAAGCCCTACCAGAATTCCCGTGTCTTTCTGGGAGATCTATGATGTCATTATCCCATCCTTAAAAAATTGCAGTGATGGATTGTGCAGGCTTCCCAGGAAAAAAGAAAAGCAGTAGTGGCAAAAATACAAGGAGGACTGCTTTTTCAGTTACTCAGTGTGACAGTTAACTCAGTCCTCTGTGACTGAACTGTTTTAACCTTGCTGCTGCAGTTTTGTAAAGAGCACGCGTGGAACCTTCCTGTTAAAATTAAGAAATAGTATTTAAAGCACAGAACTGCAACAGGTAGCTGGCATCCATACCAAGCTGTTAACCAAATCAAAGCAGCAGCACCATCCCCACCCCCATTTAGGCATGGTTCAGGGTGGATCGTCAATAGTATAGACAACAACTGTAACACACCAGTAGATGGAAGGGTTCAGCACTTCAGACAAGACGGGCCAGGTCTCTTGTCCTAGGTCATTGTAAGACCTGATAACGAGCATGCAGACAATCCGAGAAATGGGTTTTTTCTGTCCTTCCCACCCAGGCCTTTATACCTTAGCTGAAGGGCATATACAAGTGGGGAGGCTCGGTGTAAGCTGGTGGGCGAATTTACAGCACCCTGAACCTACTCTGCAGGCACATGGCAGAGAGAAACCACCACTCGTCTCCGTTGCAAAGGGAGCCTGAAGGACTCAGTATAGAGATAGTTGCTGGCATGGAATTCTTGTTGGAAGATCTTGTTCATGTATGCTGCTAGTGCACATGCAAGAAGTGTCTAAAGGGCTTCATATCCCAGATAGAGCTCAATCAGCCCTGAGAAATTCATATACATGAGAGCTCTCTTCCAAAAAATTCTGCAGTAAACTTCTGAGAGAAAGTCAGCAAAAGAGGGAATCCAGTATAAATAGAAATATGCATTTAGATGCTTACCTTTCCCAAATGCGATGCTGCTACTTTATGGGATACTTATTTTTGACTGATTTGATAGAAGGTAGTGAAAGTAGTGTTAAAATCGGAAATAGTATTAATTACTGAAGTCTCTGTTTTCAGGATGTGTGAAAGAAATTCAGACTGTCTTGCTGCCGTATACCTCTAATTGGCATAATGTAGATATCATTTCAAGAAAAAAACCCAAAGTGATTAAACCTCCGCCAGGGGAGGTTTAGATTGGACACGAGGAAAAATGTCTTTACTGAAAGAGTGGTTAAACGTTGGAACAGGCTGCCCAGGGAAGTGGTTGAGTCCCCATCCCTGGAGGTATTTAAAAGACGTGTAGATGAGGCACTTAGGGACATGGTGTAGTGGGCATGGTGGTGTTGGGTTGACGGTTGGACTCGATGATCTTAGAGGTCTTTTCCAACCTTAACGATTCTATGATTCTATGTGTTCGCAATATGGGAACGAGGCGCTGTACCAGTAGGACTCCTCGTCTAGGTCACTCACATCACATAGCAATAAACTGCACCCCAGCAGTGCAGTTTCTCTCCATCAAACGTAAAAGAAATCCGAGTACCTAAGCCAAACACAGACACCTAAACAGAAGCCATTAAAAGCAGCGGAGAAATTAAACCCAGCTACAGTATGCACGACATTCATAAAGTTGAGCCATCAAAAGCAAAAAAATACAAAGGTCGCTGGGTACTTTCCAAAGGAAACTCTGAATTCACACTTCCTCCCAATAGCTGTTTGTCTAATGAAGTCAAAAGCACCCGAGAAGATGACTGGAAGATTAAAAAATGGTTTCACTTTAAGTAGGCAAGTAGGCATACATACCTCCTTAAGTGGGCCTTTCACCCAATAGCAAAGGGTTTGTACACACACACAGAGGAAAATTAATACAAAGCCAGGCACGGCTAAGCCATAACTTTAAGCAGCATAGGACTTGAAACAACCTTTATCTCAGAGTTTTGCCAGAGCAAGAGCCACCAAACATCTATCTTTTCTAGTACAGTGTCGCAACGGGGAAAAGATAAGGCAGAGGCCGGTAAAATCATTAAAGGGGCAGGACGGCAAAGGGGACCGATGAGCTACTGCTTCTCACAAGACAAGCACGGTTAAGGACGTCCGTAGGCACTATCAGGTAACGGCTCCAAAACAAGCAGAAGGAGTTTTTCCAAACAGCACATACATTGTCCCCAGATTCTGTAGAAGTTAGACACAAGCGTTTCTCTATGCTTAACGCTGACTGACCGCTGTGAGATGGCAAAATGAGTCTTGCTAAAGGACTGCCTGAAACTGCTTCCACTCAGATCCCGGGCGGTATGGTTACAAGGCCTTACCAAAGGCACAGAAGCTGCTTGCACCACGACACTACACTAATACCGTTCGCTTTCAGCACCTGTAGTCTCACTTAATCCCCTAAATCCCTCCCCATCTGCAATAGGATCCCCCATTGTGTCTTACGTTCTTGGAGCGGACAGCGGGCAAAGCTGATACCTCAACTTGCTGGGAAGTAACAGGTAAAGCTTGTACCCGCTCGCGCTCACCAGCCCTAGACATAACCCATCAAGTAACGTGAACCCCTTTAAGCTCAACTACAGCAGAAGTAAGGAACAGTGGAAGGGGTGGGGGGAATAATAAATCACCGACATGGAGTATTGTACGAGTCTTTTACAAGTTGGTCTTCTACCCCGTTCCAAACAGTTCCATACGCACTGCCGGACCCCACCGTGTACATCAACCTGTTTGAAAGTATTTTCATTCCCTGTGAGAGGTAATAGAAGTGACAGAGTTTATGACTAAACAGATATTTTCCAAGTACATAGCCGCTTTCATCTCTTACAGTAACGTACCATTTACTTATCTACCATTTAAGTATGGAGTCTGATCAAATTCCAAGTTCAGCTTTGCTTCCCCAGGGCTGTTTTGTCGTTTGGTTGGGGTTTTTTGGGGGGGAGGGGGGCTGTTATTTCTTCCAGACAACCAAAAAGCACCACTGAACTTCTGTTTCTGTACCAAGTTATTGGATTTACAAAAACACAGAAAAGCATACATCAACGTTTCCACATTATTAGAAATGTTTTCGTAGAAAACCAAGCTTGAGTCTTTGAACACCGGTCAAGCATTAAGTTTTCTGCTTTTAGTTTTAAAGCATCACATGTATTGGATGTCCAAATGGGATCAACTGAAAAGAATGAGTAACGCGACAACATAAAAAGGAAAAGAATGCTAAATACCCCTTGATAAAAATAACACGTATTAATGACGGACACCAAAAAAACAATTCAGACTAGGAGTCTGTAAAAAAGTTCTCTGCTGATGGTATCTTTTATGTTTTATGATGTTATCTTTTATGAGCATGTTCTTTAATTAAATGTCTTTAGGTTATTTTTAACAGTTGCTCTGGGATTTAAAAACCAAAGCAAAACCCCACAACAGTTCTTTGCCAACTGCAGCGTTAGCCAGTTAGTCTACTTCTAGACTACCGTCGGGATAGCTGAACCTGGGTTGCTCAGTTACTGGATTTGATAACAAGCCCGTAAGCGCGATAGGTTTTTATTGTAACCAGAAGCTGGGAAACATTTGCAGAAACATCAATAGCAGGTATTTTTGCACTGCGACTATTTAAAAAAAAAAAAAAAAAAAAAAAAAGCAGCGATGCCTGAGCCCGCAGTAGCAGTTAGCTTGATTAGCACCCAAACAGCATTAATACTTGGTTTGATTTTCTGCCCTGTAAAGACTCATAATAAATGTAGTTAGAAAGTTAACTTACCAGAGCTCAGATCAGCATCTCATGCAAAAGCTGCAGCCTCTCCAGAGTCCTCACAACTACGAGGTCACCGCTAAGCTCTTCTGCGTAGAGTTTTAACACCAGAGCAAACTGCCCTGCGAGACACCCTGCAGAGCTCTCCCACGTTGCTCTACAGAGAGAAACCACAGGAAGCGAAGATGAAAAGCTGTCACTCAGATCCAAGACAGAGCACTTGCCCCGCTAGTGAAGCATCCTCCCACAGAACTGGGGAGAGAGCACAGCGCACAGCCAGGCACTAGTGCACGCTCTAGTTCTCTCTCCATGTATCCACTGTAAGAGGGAGGCACAATGCTCCCACCCAAAGCCACCCTTGATCACCTCCAGCCTGCCCTGCCCTCCAGTCCCCGCAGTCTGCAGAGCAAGACCAGCCTCTCTGAAACCTGGTACCAGTGCTTCAGTCTGAGACGCTCTGAAATGGGCCTGTAGCTGCACTCTCACTTCCCCTCAAAGCGGGGAACAGCAAGACTTTGCTGCCATTCCTTTTCAGGCAAACCGCTGTCCAAAAACACATGGGCACGTTAGGTTTCGAACACAGATGGACAAGCCCCGCTGCTCGTGTTGAAAAATCACTGCAGCATGTTACAGCATCCCTGCCTTTGGGTACTTATCCAGCAAGGCTGTACCAGAAAAGCACAAACGGGTACCACACTAGCAACACAGCAGCTCCAGCTCTCCTTTTCCACGGTAGAGACCCAGGACCCCTCCAAAGTTCTGTCATGGTCTTTGGAAATTAGTCCCCGAGGGAATAAAGCAGCCAGCATGCTACATGGGAAGGGAGAGAGTAACCAGAAGTATCTCGCCTTTCCTTCCCATGCTATCAAAAGTAGGTCTCTGGCAAAACTGCTACCTGGAACAGAGCGGGGAAGAGATGCGTCACTTCTCATAAGGGGACACCTAGACATGGGCTGTCCTCCTATTCTGTATCAGGACCACTCACTAACTCGGTCCCTACTGCCAAAGGCAAGGGTGGCCTTAAGAGAGGTCAAAAAGAACCGCTGCCTCCCCCTCTGCCTACCTTGTGGCTCTTCACCATGCCAACAGAGAGTGGAAACTCTACGGTCTCTCAAAAGGTTATTAAGATTCTTCCTTTATTCATCTGAATGCAATAGTCTACGTCACTTTGAACTGCCACATAACAAAGAACATTCTCTTACCAGATCAAGTGGGCTGTCTGCTCCGACAAACTGGCTTTCTCTGCAATTCTTCTCCTCCTCTCATGGACAATGGGGAGATTAATTATGGTGGTGCCAGGCATCTCAGCGGCACATTGCTTCACTGCAGGAGAGTGTTTAAACCAGGTATTGTTTCTTCTGTGAACTTCAGAAGTCAACATTTTCATCCTCTTTCTTGTAACCTGGCACTCTAACAGTCATTTTATAACCAAAGCAGACAGAGATTCTGGTGTCATTCATGAAGAAAAAACCCACAAGTTACCCAATTTGTATTTTATTGCTTGGGCAAGCTTGCAAAACCCGAGATTAGAGTGGTTGGGGAGGGGGAGAAAAAAAAAAAGAAAAAAGAGTTCTCTCTGCACTATGATTCACATGCCCTCAGGTCACTGACAGACCCGCTCTGCAGCACCGCTGCACCAACAACTGTGGAAGAGCAGAAGGCAGCAACAAGCAAATCAGAGCCCAGCAACAGCGTGGCAGCCACCTTCGGGCGACAGAGCCTCCGCTGCCCAAAGTGCTTCACTTCACAATTAGGCTGACTCACTCATATAGTTGTTCCCGTGCTACTAGCCCAGGCCGTGACCATTAAAACAGGTTTTAAGTGACCTCAAAGGAACTTTGCTCTGTAACATGCCACAGCCTAAGTGCAACAGACATGGCTTTGTACCAGGGAACAGGATAATGTAAAAGCTACTACAATTCTGTAAGAGAGTGACTGTTGATGAGGAGAGGAAACGGCGAGTACTTTCAAAGGCTGTTTCTGTAAGTCACTGCATCAGACAGTAACAGCTGTCCCTTGCACTACGCTGTACAAAGGCAGGGTTACAGAGCAGAGGGGCAGAGAGGAAATGCTACATTCTCCTCCGTTCTAAGCCTGTACCCCTCCCACACACACCACAGAAGGAAAATAAAAAAGAAACCCCAAACCAAAAAACCCCAAGCCCCACTCCTTCCTCCTCCTGGTTGAGAGACAGGCACCAGAATTTCAGAACAAGAAAAAAAAGCAGTTATCTGAAAGCAGCATCGGGTTGTTCTTCCTTTCCCCTTGGCAGTCTCGGAGGGCAAGAACAAATGATAGGAAGATGCCTACAGTCACAGTCTATGATTTTTATTGAGACAAGACCGTGTATTGTGTAGAGAGCGCTTGGCAAACCTCCATCACACATCCACAACAACAGTCCTTTCAGACGTGGCTGTATCTCATAGAGCTGCTATTCTCCTGGGGCAATTGTAGTGTCCAAATCTGAGAGGAAAAAGAGAAAACATTGATTTAGGGAAAAAGATGGCACTGAAACCACCTGAAAGCACTTAAAATCTGTGGTCTTCTTTTCCCATGGGGGCTCCCTCCCCATTGGCACAGACAGCTCCACACCCAGCACTATTAGGAAAAGCACCATCCGAGAGGGCCAAAACCAGCAAGCAGCAGCTGCCTTTTCAAGGCCAGGCCAAGTGCTCAGAACTACATTCAAGCTCCTCGCACTGCTCTTTGTTGCTTCCCTTTCCCTTCTGTCTTCTTTAAGCCCCAGTGTGCGCGCTGCTGCTGCAGGAGAGAGCATGCTCTAAGCCCACCTGTAGCAGGTCTGCGGTCTGGCTGAGACAAGGCAGCCTGGAGGTGGTCTGCAGTGTGGTGGAAAGTCCTTTCTATCCACATTTCACGGGCACTGGATTAATCAGAGACAGATTAATCCTTGCAGTTTTAAATACCTGCTATCCTTAGCAGGGATGTCAAACTTCCATGACATCCATTTGCTATCTTCTGCAAATTTGCCCCCCCACCTTTTTTTTTTTAAGCTACAAAACTTAAATAGCTCAGACCAGATGCTGTTAAATTAAGAGAGCCACCATATAAGCAAAAGGATGATCTGTTCTCTGTCCCCCAGTCTGTACAACCCTCTCAAAAATACCAAGGGAGAAGCGAGTGAACAGAAACGGGTCTGTAGGCACCTAGATACCACAGACGGTTTGGTCTTTATACATGGTCAGGGACAGAACAAGAGTTTATGAGAACTGAAAATATCATTCATGTGAGATCTCAAAGTCATTGTCAACACAACTTCTCTTTTACTACTCTGCAAGTAAGAGGAGGAAATCTACCAGGAAAAAAAACACGATTTTTCCATAGCAACTGCTGTAAACACCTCTACAGTCCGGGGCACCCACTGGGATGTGGGTGTCACTGAACAAAGCTGTGAGCCATAGGTCAGATGGCACATAAAGGAAGACCGTGGGTGTTACTGCTCCCTTCAGTATTAGATCTAACTCCTGCAAAAAGAATGCCATCCCCTGCATTCACCTACCTGCTTCATTATATTCCACTGATTTTAGAAAGAGTCCAGATGGCGGAGCCATGGCATTTGATGGAAAAGCCCGTGAATCTTTTATCTCCAGTAACTCCTTTATATGATGAGGTGTTAACTTTCCCTGGCCAACTGCAACTAGAGCCCCAACCATTCTTCGGACCTGGAAAAACAGAGAACACGGCTTAGGAGCTGCCCTTGTTAAACTTACAGATATTAGGGGAAACTGTCCAGAGTCCCGCCCTCGTGCTCTCAGCAGTACTGTGCTGTGTAACAGCCCACAGTTACTACTGATGGCAAGTCGAGCTAGAAACCTAATCAGAGAGTTCAGTGCCTGTCACTCAGGAAAGAATGATATCACCATGATTTCTTAATATGAGCCTGCTCCTGAATATAGGTACATCGTTATTATTAAACCCATAGTTCCCGTTACTATTACACGTACATCGTTATTATTAAACCCATAGTTCCCAGAAAGCCTAATTTCTCGTGTTCCTCTACTATTCCTAGTACTGTCAGTTGTTCCCAGTGCCAGGCACTTTGCTCCTAGTCCAGCTGGGTGTTAAGAAAGAAGCAAGCATCTCCCCACATAAAGAATGCTTCGACCCTTGTTTTAGGTGCCACTGAAGTATGCCAAGCCATGCCCCAGCCTCACCCATCAGGGTTCAAGCCAGTCCTGGCTGCCCCTTGTACGCCTTTGGTATCACATACCTCCAGGGAGCATTTCCAGTGCTCACTTTATTTCTTCGGAAAGATCATGCTCCCTTAGTCCCCGAGCACACCCCAGCAGTCACAGTCACCCCACAGCCTGTGGAGGAACGGTGTTCTTTCCACTTCTAGCAGGGATTGCATGGGCTGCCTAGGTTCTGCACCGATTGGGGTGACACGACAACATGCAGCAGCTAAGCTTGTCTGCAACGTGCAGAGGCACAGGATCTTCTAGTGACCAAAGCTGGTGGTAGGGAAGGGAAAAGAACTAGCAAAATTACCTTGCTTCCTTTAACTCTTCTCTCCCTACAACTAAAGACCTTAGTAAGAATGAGATGAGAACCTGTAACACAGTGATCTCCAGCTACACAGTACTGCCTTGGAGCAAGGCTTGTTTTCATCACATGTGGGAAGAAAGCTGAGCAGAGGATGGTTTCTGTTTCAGAAACAACAGCAGCACCCACACATCCGTCTGTGGCAGGAAGCTCACATGCTCGCTGGGAAAGCTGAGCTCACAGGTGGTTCTTAATAAGCAAGCAGCACTGTTTCCAGATGGGGGACTATGCAGGGGCTTGCTTCTCTCTCAGAAAGCCAAAAGAGGAAAAAAAACCCAAGTAGGACAGCCCACAAGACAACATCCCCCCAGTGCAGCAAACTGGTATTTCAAACAACTCTGCATGTCACAACTTACCTTCCCTCCCTCCACACTCAGCAATTCCAGACCTAGTGGGTTAGCACAAATTTCACACCACAGTGCTCACCTCCCGCGTAAACACCCCTCACACTTCAGCATCCTCTTGGCTAAAGAACACCCTTTCCTTCTATATCCCCTACGTGCTCTTCCAGGAGGGCCAAGACTTGTATCTGCCAATGCCACCTGCACACCAAACGCTAGTTCCCTACGACCAGCCAGCTATTGCATCCCTGCGTGGTGGCTACATTTCTCTCCACCCCTTTCACAAGCTGAAGGCATCCTTCTGAAGGCAGAGCACTGACCGCTAATCTTCCTGGTACTTCTTATGTCAAGGCAGCCTCACGAAGCTGCTGTCGAGGAGTAACTGACAAGTAAAGCCCCTCAACTTGTGCCAGAAGTACTCTCAGCAAGGCACTCCTAGAGAGACTTTGGTTATCCGGAGACAAGTATACAGGCAATTACCTACTTCCCATGGGCATCAATAAAGCTTGTGCAAGAAACATCTGGGGATGGTTCAGGGAAACATCTGTTTCCCTGGGGAAACAAAGGATAAAGACAGAGAAGGACGGTCCTTTTCAGGCTTTTGTTCAGCAAGAGATAAAGCTTAAGGAAAGCTAGGCCCTGTCCCAGCACCACTGGAGTGAACAGTCCCGTCATGAGAAATGCCTGTCTGAGGGGAAAGAAACAGCACGATAAAGCTCAAGGAAAGCTAGGCCCTGTCCCAGCGCCACTGGAGCGAACAGCTTGTATGAACAGTCCCATCATGAGAAATGCCTGTCTGAGGGGAAAGAAACAGCACAATGCAATGAACTTAACCAGCCTGGCGGTGTCCAGCTAGGCAAGGGCTGAACCCCCTCCCAGAAGCTGCCAGCACTTTGCTTGGGCTTGCCCCTACTCATTTTCACAGGAGAGCTCACACGGCCTAAGGGAACGTGCCACAGATTTTCTGGGCCCGAGTCTTATTTGGCAGAGGAGCCACACTGAAACTCAGCCCTTGCCACGGGCTGATCCCGAGCCACCGCACTGTCACCATTTCCTAGTCACTTTTCTCTGTCCACACTGGACAAACTGTCCTCCAGTCTCAAATTTTACAGGCAACAGCAGTACCAGCCCACATGGGGGAAACTGGTCAAGCAGACGCTGTCCTGCCTGATTCACCTTCTCAGGCTGCTGCCAGAACACATCCCCACCTGCGCAGGCATGATCAGTCATTTGGCCTAAATAAACATTCATTCTATTCATGACCTTTCAAAGCATACCAAGCTCTCCAAAAACTTAAATGTAGTGCTGTAATGAAGCATTGGTCTAAGTTTCTGATCCATTAACATTTACAAAAGAATAAACCAAAGTCCACTAAGCAACCTGATCATGTTTATCACCGTTAAGGAGAAAGGTCCAACAAGTCAAGCTATATTTATCCAAAGGCAAGCACTGTCTCTCCCTATGTGCTCTGATCTTAAACTGCACTGTGGAGTGCCAAGAGCCTGCCTTTGAGCAGATGGCACAGAGAAGAAGCAGAGATCCTTGACATATGTTATTTTATCCATCCCTCACTAGAGGTCATTGTATGCTGTGGCTTTAGCTTTGATGTCTCCACACTTGGAGTTAGCTAGTGTAAATGCAGCCTAATGGCATGCATCGGAAATAGCCATGTGCTTGGTGTCTCCCCCCTTCTGCACGCTATTCAGCAAAATATATACATACAGTTTCTGGGGCTGTTTAACCCTTTTCTCTAATAAAAACATTGAGATGTCGATACCTATCATAGCAGCTATATGAGGTGAGATATGAGGTCCACCTAGTCTAGTCTGCTCTTTATGATGGAGGGCAGAAGCATATGCTCAGGTAGAAGAGCGCAAGTTCAGCGTGTACAGCCTGTTCCTGCTTCACTACAGCCTGCCAGCTCGCTGTAAGGCAGCTCCCGCAAACAAGGCTCAGAGGACACTGGGCTGAGCTGAGTATTATGGGCCACTGTTCTCTCTGCACAACGTCATTAAGTAGCGTTTCCGTTCTAATGCACTAAATGGGTTACCAGCATTTTCGCCTTGTCACAAGAGCCTCTGATGAAGCAAATCCCTGCTGTATATCAAGCCCTTCTCAAGCATGTTGTTCTTCCCTTGCTCACATCCAGACACCCGCTGTCAGAGAGCTTACAGAGCATTACTTGGCACAGGATAAAAACAAATTTGGTTTGTCAAAACAGAATAAAAAATAGCTGCTTGCTGTTCCCACAAAACACCCCCTCTCTCCTCCAAAAAACAAGCCCTCTCTTGCCTATTCTCTGTCTCCAGAGTGTGACCATGGCCAGGATAGGCAGGCTGAGAACAGCCAACTCTTTCCTAATGAGGTGATCCATTAAGTTGCGGAGAGAGCTGTCTCCCCTGAGGATAGCAGCAAAAACCCCACTGGAGTTATTTCAAAGAAAACCCAGTGGAGGCTAGACAGCATGGCAGAGGGAAAGATCCTGCAGTCATGCCTGCATAGCTGAATCAGGTCTTCCCATCTCTCCTTTGTGCAACACTGAGAATTACTTCATGCTCCAAAGCCAAAGTAAAATTCCAGGCAGTCTTTGCTGGGCCCAGTGCCATTCAGCAGAGCAAGAACATATGTCTGTTGGTTTTTACCACGCAGACTGCAAGGACAAAGATTGCAGAAAACAGAACTTTCCATCCTCCCACATGATTCTGTGACTTTGGACATTCATTTTAGACACAAACTTAAGAGATTCTGGTTCTACCGGATCAAACAAAGAATACAGAACCTCACCTCTCTGATGCTAGGTCCCTGTGTGTGTCACGCAGCTGTAACACCAGCTCTGCAACAGAGATGGTACTACACAGGGATGCAACATTGCTAAACTGATCAATAGTTATAGTGATAGCGGCACTTTGGTTCTTGGAGGTAAAGTGTGTCCCGAATACAGCACCAAACAGTACCTGTCGGTAAACAAATGATCTGCTTCTGAACTTCAACTCCCAAAACTCCAGTCCCCTAAAGAAAGGAACAAAAAAAGCATTTAAAATCACATTTCAAATGGCTCTTCTACCCACAAGAGAAGTATAAATCACAGGTGAATGCAAGTAGAACAAATAAGAAGCTGTGCAGCCCCCAATTAACCTGAAACAGCACCATGAGCTTTCAAACACCAGACTGCTCATTTGCTACTCAGATGCAGCCATTTTCTGGGGTGAAACAATTCCTGCCTGTTTTGTATGTACCTGGTTTTACGGGGCTTCATCTTCCTACTGCCTTACACCTAAGTATATAAGCATTCAAATAAAAGGGAAAGGGCAACATAAAAGAAGGTGCAACTTAGCAGTCTGCTAAGGTACTACTGATCTGAGGAATGCAGTCTGATGCCTCCTGGAGAAAGGAAGAAACAACCAACCATAGCAAAGCAACTCTACCATTTCATTCAGAGCTGGCTTGAGAGAGTCACGTGGTCCTTACAGGCTTTGCAGAATGAATTTCAACACTCAGCAATGCCTACTGCGACATCCACGTGCTACTGGAAAGGCCAGGACAAGCAAGTCAGGACACAGACATGCCTGAGGAATCCAGCTGCAGCGTCAGAACACAGGCAGCGGCAGACAAGGAAGCACTCACTCCAGGCCAAGAGCGAGCAGAGCAGGAAACGGGCAGATGAACATTTGGGGATGGATGGATGCTACTACGCAAAAAGACATCCTTTCCCCTCACCAAATCTGTCTGCTCATATAGATACCATTTTCCAGAAAGTTTTATAGTAGTAACCAATATTCCTTACAAGAACTCTACTGAGGCTAACTATTCCAGTACTTCACTGACACTTGCATTCTCTGCTAAATCTTTACAAGTTGCTTTCTAAATATTTTTGTGGTCCAGTGCCAGCTCTAACACTAAAACCCAAGGCAAACCCGTTTGCAGGAACAGTCCTGCAGGGAAGAACCTGTCTGCACATTTCCTTCCTACAAATAAAAAAAAATCTGATATGCACATTAGATATATATAAAAACATACACACACAGGTGTATCATACATCAGATACGTCAACAGAGCACAAAAGTGAGCAGGTTTTCACTTCAGTACCTGCATCCCTAAACTTCCATGCTACCAAGCAATCCTAGAAGTCACTTTGATAAAAGTAACAATAAAATAACAATAAAAAATAAACAAACTCACTAACAGTTTAAGCACTCCTTATATCCCATAGCATTCCTACAGCAAAAAGAGACAAAGCTTACCTTGCACAATCCAGAAAAGCAGGTACTTACATGCAAACCCTCTCCTCTCCTCTCCTCCCTTGCAATGAGCCCAGTAACTGGGTATCAAAGGGCTATGGAGATGTGAATCAGCTGTGAGAGAAGCACAGCTGCAGCATACTTGTCTGGAGGGTTCAGGTGGATGGGCTGGGTTTGCTGGAAACACCTGAGCATCGAGAAAGGGGCTGCCCATTCCCTGGGAGAGGCGACGGCTCTCGCGAGCCGTAGAAGAAAGGTGAAAAGCAGGGACAGCGCGATTCACAGGCCCGCACGGGGCATCAGGGCAGGGCTAGCAGGAAGAGCAACTGTGAAACAGTCATTGTAGGGAGCAGCACAAGCTGTTTCCTCACTGGATTTACAGATAAGTTACTGCTTTTAGCCCTCCCTGTCGTGTATGTTGGCGTATGCAAAGGCGGCTCCTGCCCCCGGATTCCTCTTTATGTCAGGAAATGACAATGTTTCTATCACTTACGTACGGTCTGCTCTCCCCCCAGCTTGATGCGCGTGGCATACAGACATGTGCATTGCTACACACGTGTGCAAATACCCAGCACATCGAGGTCATAATTCAGCTCAGCTCTTTAGCAAAGCACAAGAGACAATTTTTTCAAATAGGGACAAACCCCCCTCTCACCAAACTGCATGCACCTTCTTTAGCCAGGATTCTCCTGTCTTGGTTGTCTTGACAAGATATATTAAGCTACAAAAGATGGGTCAAGATACCTAGGAAAAACACCTTGTAGACTTTGAAAGAGAACAAGACTTTTTTTTTTTTTAAGAGGGAAACTTTGTTTTCTTGTCAATCTCACAGATAATTTTGCTTACCAGCAAAAAATCCAGCTGTCTTTTTCCATTTGGCAGCAGAAGCCAGCACCTTGCAATGAATAATACATATTCAGCTAGAAAACAGGTGACAGAGCAATCACTCCCCAGGAATAAGTGATGGGGCTAAGTCTCTGAACACATCCTTAGCATTCAAAAGCATTCTGTATGGATGGGACACTAACTCCACTTCCACTGTTGCTGAGCAACTGAGTTTGATGGAAGGAATCATTTTAACAGTTAGCCTTTTAAACAGACAAGTGGTCAATTCAGAAGATTGGTTTAAGTTCAGAAAGGAAAGAAAGAATGAGAAACAAAAGCTGCATTATTTGACTAAGAGACCATGGTTTATCATTCTACTGATTCCTCCCTCTGAAACAGAAAATAAACCCCCTTAGATTAGGCTAAAAAAAAAAAATTAAAAAGAAAATATCTATTTATAAGCTTTTACTGCTATCCCAGCCCTTGCATTGCAGGAACAGTTCATTCTGCTACTGCAGTGAAGAAGTACACATGCACTTCAGGCATATTTGCCGTCTTATTTGCAGAATGGGCAAACACACACCAAGCTCCATGGCTGCAACTGTTCCCACAGGGAGAGTTTTACAGATTAAAAGTAACTAGGACACTGTAATTAAAAAAACCCGAACAAACAAACAAAAAACCCCCAAACAACACCTAGCCTGTCACAAAGACCCAAACCCCACAGCTTTTTTCTCTAGATCAGAAAACTCATGGTTGTGGTTATTACTAACCAAGTATTCTAAGAGAATTAAATGCCATTTAAATGCATTGAAACTAGGCTTCTCAAAGCCATCCCCTTCAGGCTACACGTTCATTAAATCAATTAATATCGACACATTATAAAAATTACTTGCTATAAAACACAAGTTTGGATGCATGTGTCACCAAAAGCAAAAATATTCCATCAGCAACTAGCTCAATGCTTTTGATCCAGTTTTTAGGTTTACTCTCTCTTCCGTGAGCTGTTTTTGGCCTCATGTGGGATGGGTTTATGCAGCAAGTTATGCAAGAAATAGCAAATCCCTTTTTTAAATTAAAATCGAAGACACAAAAAAGAGCTGATCCATATTAGTTCTCAGAGGTCGGCCAGCTGACAATAGCAGGTCTGGATGTGGAAGGTAACCTGGCCCATATGCACTCACAGGTGATCCAGACAAGACTGTTAACGGTTATTTTCAGGTTAGCTCGGGTCTCTGCCACTTACAATGCTTCTCATCATAAAGGACAAGATAATCTTGTGGATGAAGCATTTCACTGTTACTTGTGTCCCTAAGCATAACCACACTTGACAGAGGGAGGCCAAGCTCTCCATTCAGCAATGGCAACCCAATAACAAACAGCAGCCACATGACAGCACCCATTTTCCTCTCCAGCCTTCCTTTTCCCATAGGGACAGTGTTTCTTACCTGCAAGAATGCGGGAAACAAGCGTTTCATCCGGCACTAACTGCCCATGTCCTTGCGCTTATACAGCAGAGAGTAGCGGCGAAAGTGCCATACCCAACTGGGTGGCTCTTTATAACATGGCTGCGTATTGACAGGCACCAACACTGAGCAGGAAAAGCAGGAATCAGAGAAGATGGGAGGAACTGGGAGGAACTGAAAGACCAGGGTTACTCAGGGCATACAGACCTCTCTCTGTTTTTGCAGCTCCCTTTCAGTTTTTGTCTTACACTACTGCTGGCAAGATACGCCGTTCTAAGACATGGGGAAAGAAACAGTGGGCTATCTGCAAACTGCAGTGAGGCTCCAAAGCTTGGAGCACCGCACTTACTGTTACAGACAGCTCAGGAGGTATTCAAATCTAATGGAGGGTCGTTGGGGAAAACTACAAAGAAAAGGGTTTTCTCCTAATTGGAAAGCAGAAAAATGTGGTTTGGAGACAGACAACAGCAAGGTTTGCTTTCAAGCTGAAACACAACAGCCACGTTATCTGTGAAAGAAGCCAGCATGAAAGCAAAAGCCACGTTCAGATGATAAATACCCATGATCTTTCGGGGAAAAAAAACTTTAGTTTCTGCTAGAGAGCAAATACATCCAGCCACTTAATTTCAATACTTGCAAGACCTGGTCCTGAAAGAACCTGACACTCAACAATCTTTTGTTTAGGTAATGACTGAGGAATATTGGACTTTCCTTCATCAACATCCCCTGGGAAGACAGAGGGAATTACTGGTGTGAACCGAGCAGATCTGCATAGCTACAGCAGTGACCTAGGTGTTGGGTGAGGTTTTTTCCTTCTATTTGCAGCCTTAGGACAGCAGTGAGGGGCGGGGGGAAATCCCATCCCCTGGCAGAGCTGGTCTTTAGCAACCAAAATGAGTGTAAATGCTGGAAGCACCTCATCAGAATCGCTCCGTGCTAGATTCCACACACCAGTTTATAACATCCTGCCTTTTAACGCACAAACAACTGCACCAGTTTCCCCGCCCTCATTCCTGCTCATCTTTCTCCCTGAAGACATTGGGGAGGAGAGGGAAAGAAATGTCCTTTCCAAGCTGTCACTAGGCAGAACCCTGCTGACACCATCACAGGACTGCGAGGGCAACGCACAGCAAACAGGAGGTCAGTTCTCAAAGCAGTGCTGGAAAGCAGCTTTTCAGACAAAGCAAGCGCTAGCTGACCAGAGCAGCTCCTCAGCTGGGTATCTAGGCTCTCACCTGTGTTCATAATGCTGGGACAGGAAGCCAGAAGAGGGTCGGATGTCTGCCTGGAGGATGGTTCTGACTGGAGACTGAAAAGGGGTTTCGGAGTTAAGTGAGCGAAAGGTGCTGAAGTCATGGGTTCCCAGCAGGAACTGTGCTGCATCCTGCATGGCAGGCACGTTCAGGTAGCTGAAATTAAACGTGCAGAGCAAAAGGAAAGGAGCATCAGGTGGGACCAAGTATGTTAGGTGGGTCAAAGTCCAATCAATTGATGAGAAGCTGAAACCTGGCACACAGACTGAACATTGTAGCATTGCGGAAACACATTTTGCAAGATGGAGTTTGTCTCGTAATGGCCCAAACCACAAACCAAGATGCCAAGTGACCTGAGTTCTGAAGGTATCCAAAACCCCAGGCTAGATGAGGGGTTGGCAGGCACATGCTTTTACACAAACCTTTATCCTGCTGTGCTTCTTATAACAATTCAATTCAAATAATTCTATTCAAATCACTGGCTAGAGCGTAGGGCAAGAGAGCCAAAATCCTTTGCAGTATCTGGATGTTACAAACTGAAAAAGATGTTGCCAGGTAAGAAAATATCAAACACTGTGATGGTTTTCTAAACCTTAGATTTGCAACAGCCAAAAGATGATATTAGGAAGTAACAGAAATGGAATGAGCGAGAAAACTGGCAGAGATGAATCCAGTGTAAACCCAAGGTGGAGATGCAGAAGAAAGGGCCGAGGGTAAAACTCAGAATGTCAAGTGTCATTCAGATGTCTTCATTTAAAGTATCTAGGTCTGTTCAAACTAGTCTCAAGCAAAGGAATTTAGACGGATTTAGACAGATTTACTGATATATTTGCTGAACAGATGCTTATTTTTATTCTATTTTTGTAAATTTCTCCTAAGAAAAGCCTGCGCAAGTATGTGTGATCTATGGCTTCAGTACTTCAGATCTTAACAGAAGTCAAAATGTTTCTGAAGAAACCAACCAAAAAAAAAAAAAAATATCAAGATGAGATTTTCCAACATAATGAAATTTTTCCACTGTGTTCAAGAAAAATGACTAGCACTTACAGAACCCTGGTCACACTGAGAAGCGCTGATGACACCTAGTTGGCAATTCAGACGCCTACAGGAGTTTAATGTATGTTATGTGTTTTATACACCAGATGTGCTCAGTAGTGCACACACTATCAGCTTCTCCACTACTAGCAGTCCAAATATCCCACCTTTTAGTAAGACACCTCCCATTCAGAATTTCTAATATGCTCACCCTATCCTTTTTGTGGTATTGCCATTTGAGAAAATTAACTGCAGTGTCTGGACTAAATTAAATGCTATTTCATAAAGCCCAAGATTAAGGCACGTTGTGCACATAACATCTAATTTTGCAATTTGATATTTAATTTTCCCTTCCACAGCCCACAGAAAAGAAAGTCAGCAATTTAATTTTAGGACAATGTCATCTTCACTCCTCTGCTCGGACAGTTGAGATTACATTTTTTTTTTCCATTACCCACAATTGTTATTCCAATAGTGATGATGAAATTACCACAACTGGCTACAAACCTGTTTTTCTATAATGTTGTGGAAAACTCCAGTTTTCTTCAATGTATGTTTATCTCAGTACAATGTAAACTAAAGGACAATTACAAATTATCTTCTGGGTTTTGTTTGTTTTTTTCCTCACTCACTGTTTATCATGTCCCAAGTATTTTTTTTTTTTAAATGGCACTGAGTTTGTTTTTCTTCCCTTGCATATACAAGCACTGATTTGTTATGACTCAGTGGCTACTCCAAGAACCCAAGCGCATACTGAGCTAGATACTGAGCTAGGTTTGTTATTGTAGGGTTGCTCGGAGTCATTGGCTCTCACTATTCAAACACACAAGCTCTGAGACAGGGAATGAGAGCAGATTTACATGCAGTCGCTACCAGAAATAGGACTAGGGGAGAAAAAGAAAAAAAAAAAGAATTCTCAGCCTTCATTCTTGACTGCCTGTACGGTCACACCTAAAACTGAGATCTGCCATACAATGCATTTCTGCCTGTCTGCATCATATCAGAGCACTGTTCCTTCAGCCAGCTGTCCAAATGGGTTTGCTGTATGAATTGGCAAGGTCATCTGAGGAAATGCTCATCACTTCCATGGGGAGGGACACACAAAGTTGTTGATGGACTTTACCCGGAGTCACTGAGTATTTCAGCAGTGCTAAACATGTTTATCACAGGTACAACGCACAGTACAATTAAAAAAAGCTGTAAGTCTCAGTGAACATAACTCAGTGCAGTTGCACTGATTTCAACAGGGAAATCTTGTCAATACGAACAGGGAATCTGGTCTCACATGTGGAAATTACCCCCTCCCCACTTCCCCCAAAAGCCAAGCCTCTCCAGAGCGTTGAGGAGGTAGCTCCCCAGGGAGGTTCAATGGAACACACTTACCCTCCCGTGGGAGCCCAGCAGAGATCCCTTTCGAACACCGGTATTTCAGAATAATGAGTACAGCCCATCAACAGCCGATAAATGTAGGTTCTTGACAGTGCAGAGAAGCGTGCATGGAAGCTATTGGTCACTCGATAGGCATTCAAAATGCTGTTAGGACAGAAGAGAATGAGTGAGATGGAGAGAAATTTCATATACTAATTCAAAAGCTTTTGCCGGGTCACCACATAGATGGGAACTGAAACATGCAATGGGTTGAGAAACTGCACTTACAATTAATTAAATATCACTCTCTCCTGACAGCCAGTGACTAACCAGTGACCAAGGATTTGCACCTGTAGGCTGCCACAGGCACCTAGAAGGCGGCAGAAGAGCCTTGGCATCACCCCTGTCATCAAATACACAGTGAAGCTGACTTTGGGTCATCTATCAACAAGTTTTGGGGATGCTCACACCGTCACAAGAGGCTAAGACCAATCAGTCCTTCAGCTGACAAATGGCAACTGATGGCATGTGTTCTTTGTTGCATAGTGAAACCAAATACCTCACCCAGCCCATCAAATTGTACTGCATCTGGCTGAGGGCACGTGTTCCTAGCCATGCTTAAGGTGAGAGGCAGGAACTTCCCAAAGCAAGCTGACTCCCTCCATCTCCAGCTGAGGAGCACACCTTATGAACACTGTGCCCTTCTGCTTTTGCAGAACCATGGTCCCAAACATGAGTGGGAGGACTCCCCCAACAACAGACACCACTGTGCTCCCTCTCAAAGGCGGCTACACAGCTCATTGTAGCAGATGGAGACAGTTGAAACTAGGTCACTTCCCTCCCACCTCCCCCCACAACCTCCAAGACAAACAGGACTTTGCTGCAGCAATGAAAATCAAGGTGCATCCCACCATCGCCTAGACTGAGTCTCTCTGAAAACAGCAGAATGCTGCACGCAGGAGACCTCCTGGGAACCCTCGCATTTCACGTGTGCAGAAAATGGCTGTTGGGAATGTTCACGTCTACTCGTCCTCCCCTGACTCTGGGCAGTTAACTCAAGCAGCAGCTTTCTAGGCAGCTGAACTCCCCTGTTGTCTTCTATAAGCAACAGGGAGAAATTGCCTTGTTTCTCTAAGCCAGTGCCACCATTACCATCAGACAGACAGCTTGGTAGCCAGAAGGGCAGGTACAAAGGCTGCCAGAGGGGAAAACATCCTTCTGTCTGGCAAGGGAGAAAACAGAGCGTCCCTGTGTTTCTGCACCTCCCCCAAAGTGCTGTTATTTATTTGAACACATCAGCAGCAGTTTTCACTGGATCTGACTTTCCCTTATCCCAGAGCACTGGCTACTCACCGTACTGCAGGGAGCACGCAGCAAGCAGTCACTATTACACAGGCATAATCTCTCTGCAGGTGTTACTTTAGAGGATACTTCTCCTTAGAAGGTAGTTTTTCTCCTGGCATGTGCCTTTGTCTTCGGAGTTTGGCATAGTGAGGAGAAGGGACCCAGGGCAGCCAAAAAAACCACGATACCATCTGGGACCAAGTAATAGACAAACCTATTTATTTACTTTAAAAAGGTTGGTGCTTCAGAGATTTTTGACAGCTCAAGTGCCTCTGGCTCACATCCCTTGACTGCAAAGGCTCAGACCACAGAAGAAGAAATTAAAGCTGAGCCACAGGCCTCCACAAAGATTTGCAATAACAAGCCCAGGAGATTGCTCCACTGCTATAAACTCTCAGTAGAAATGCAAACTACATTCTCCAGGCCTGCAATGGAGTTTGAACCTAGGACTTCCAGCCTCTTCTAAACACAATAATAACTATTACATTTATTTTCCTCTGTCTACATGCCTCCAGAAGCATTTCATCTATCTTGAGCTTCTCTTGTTAACACTTATGTGATTTTTATTAAATAACCATCCTTTTACTCCCTCTGATAGAGTGACTCTTTCAGAAAAGCCTATTTATGCTCACATGACTCTTCAGCGCAGGCATCCTTTCCTGCCTCTCCTAGCAAATGCAACTGCTGCCATAGGCTCTTTCTAGCTAGGAATGTCTTCCCAGCCTTTATTCCAGCAGCTCTTCAAACATGCTACATTTCGGGCCTTGTTAAGATCCCATTTTTTGAAAGACTGCTGGTAAATAACGACTCATAGCATTCTTTAGCTTTTCAACAGAGCCTGAATTTCACAGGAGGTTGAAGGAAAAAAAGCCCAGAGACATCTAACTAGAAAAGGCAATGTATTAGATACAAAGATGTCCTCCATAAGTACATCCTTCTCTGTCCACTGACAACAGAAACAAAATACCAATTTGCAGGAGGTGGGAGGAATCCCAGCTCTGTCTTGTCACCCAGACAGCTTTTATTGTGTGCTTACAAAATTGAAACTAGGAATAGAAGGCATGAGTATTACCATCACTACTTAAGTGACAGCAAAGTCCTCCTAAAGTTACCCCATCTATGAAATACACTCTGATCTTTGTGGACAAGATCCTTTCAAATATGCTTTGCAAATCTAAAAGACAGATCAGTTGACAGAAGAGACCCATCACGCTACAAAGAAGGTTATTATTGCTGATGATACAGTCAGCCAGCTTGGAATCTTGTTTCCCTTCCAAGCTCTATCGACAATAATGTGTTCTCGCAAAGATCCCTCTCTCCATCACCCCCTGCTTGCAACCACATGAAAGTGCTGAGTTTTCTCTTCAGCATTAGAAGAGAATTCCTCTTGGCAAAGTAATATTTACAGAGGGAGGGGATGGTTGCTGAATACGCTTAGTCTCATGCCCGTCACCAAGCTCCTTAATGAAAAGCAGCTGAACCATTTTTAAAAGGTTCAGCCCAAGGGAGGAAGGAGAAGTAGAGCTGACTGCATCCCGACAAACTCAAACTCCCTAACTGATCAGGACTGTACTGCATTCTATCAGATGGTATCACCTCCTGATACGTACCTGTCAGATCTTAGCGCGAGACAAAAAACTTTTCCCATCTGTGAGATCCCACTGCTGCCTCCTTTTGGAGATGCTCTCTAACTTCAAACTTTCTTCAGCAGAAATCCTGTTTGCTCTTGGACTGATCGGTCAAGGTATCACAAAGCTAGCTATAACTACATATCCGTGTGACTACGAGTATTGAAAGTGGCAGGGTCACGACAGTAGTTTTAGTTCTCTAGGACAACTTACTCCATTAAAGCTAGACAATAAAACTCACAAGTTACAAGCCTAAACTCAGGGGAGAGAGACTGAGATTCAGTGGCTGGTGGCACATAGAACAGACTGATGATTGCAGTGGTACCCTCTGGATGTAAAATCATCTAGTTTTGACTCCCAAACAACTGCCTTAATCTTTTAAGGAAGGAAATCAAAACTATGACCTACTTTATGTTCCCTGCTACCGCTAGAACATCCAGAAAGGGTTTGACTTCCAGGGTGTATAGATTCTGACCTAGTTTTCAGCCTGAGCAAAAATAACAACCAAAACCCCACATAAGGCAAATTCTATTTCAGAATTATTTTTTTTTCATTGACACAGCAGTCTGAAAAGAAATCATCTCCAGCCCCACCCCACAGCAGCTGCATTAGACTCTTTACACATATGTCAAAGAAGGTGAAAGCTGTCAAGGGACAGTAAATCACAGATGTTAAACATGCAACTTAACTAGCTTGAGAGAGAGATTTGCTTTGTGTTCTGGCTTGTCACTGCAGAGGAATCTGGCTGCTACTTTAAGAGGCCAATGGAGGAACTGGATTTGTAAGTGTAAAACTGTCAATCCTCTATTATCATTCAACCTCAGGTTTGGGATGCATGATCTGACTTGTTACTGGATGGCTGTCCGTGGGCTGTGTAGTAAAAGCAGTGAAATCAGTATTTGCTTTTCTTTCAGGTACCCACTGTGAAACCTTTACTTTCAGAGACAGACTCAACCAACTCTGCAAACTGCCAAAACACATTTTTGCAAATAAGGCGGGGGGGGGGAGAGAAATTTCCCTTACGGATTTCTAGGGACTGACGGTCATGCATTGTGGCAGCCGCGCTTTATATCAAGCCCAAGCAGCATAACAGTCATCTCACGCCGCCCTTAGGCTGAGCTCACCCACTCCAAGACATCGCAAGAGGGTCTCATGGAGGGGCAGCAACAGCTAAGCTGACATGGACAGTCAGAAGACAGAGGATCAAAGGGGAAAAGTGGTGTGGCCTTATGCTGTTCCCAAACTGTCCAAGGGCTGTCGAAGGAACTGTAAACGTCCAGGGAAAAAGGTCAGTTAAAACAACAAAATAAACAGCCACTAACAGGAACTACGTGCCTCTAGTAATAAGGCTCTCACAGTGCCTTCCTGCCCTCTTGCCCGAGCTCAGATTCCAAGGATTTTACTTCCTCTTCCCCTTCACCCTCTGATGGCTCCCCTGGTGCTTGTTCCGAGGTGAAAGAATGCAGCTGGCTCTGAGACAGCTGCTGCAGCTTCTGCTCCAGTCACTGACCGGGTTGAGCGCCCGCAGATAAAAGGTCCCACTGTATTTAAGTAAATGCAGCGCATCACTGACATACAACTCCAGAAACGCTGCAGGAAAACACTGCAAAACCCAGTCCTGAGGCCATGAGAACTGCAGGCGCTAAACACTTCTTTGGCATAGGCCTACAGAAGGTACATAGGTGGGATCCCAGTCACAACGCACCTTGTTACAGCAGCAAATGTCAAATCACACACTCATGACTATCAGCATAGGTTTGCATTTGTTCCCTGGAGTTAATATGCCCACTAGACATGACATAGCAGAACTCTGGAGGCAGAGTCCCTCCACCCAATACTGCTCCTTGCACCGACACAGCACGTGGTCTAGGGAATGGCCACTGGACCAGAAGCTGACGCCTTCAGTCCATCTGTGATTCACACTGAGTCAGTATAAGGTCTGGAGCAAGTTGTGTCGGGGACTGGTAAACAACACAGCACTTACATTACTCCAGGTAAGCTAGCGCTGGAACAACAAGCTGGTTAACCTGTGTTTCACACAACGTTAATGCAAATGTAGTTTCTGCAACCTAGCTAGACTCTGCCCAGCACTGCAGGTGTCATTGGCGTGTCCAGGGCATGCTGGAATGTCTCACCCCCTAGTCACATCTGTGGATTAGCTGCCTATCTCTATCACCAACCAGGGGCAGGCAATCTGCTTCCTTGCTTCTAAAAACAGTGGCAGACACCTTGGAGAGCCTGATCCTGGGGGCCTAGTTTCTAGAGGTACTGAACACCCACCAGTGTAGTCAAAGCTAGAGAAGAGACTGCCACCTGGGATTGCTTTCCTCAGGTTCCTTCCTTTGCTTAAGGTTTGAATGTTTGCAATATGCTTTGAAAGTCAAAACAGCTGACTGAATTGCAGATCAACACCTTCTGCAGAGCATGCCGCAGCTTCAACCAGCTCATACTAACTCACTCTTCGCTTTATACAGCATGTGGAACATGCATGACAGACCTCCTGGGAAAAAAGTAACACCATCATTCATCTCGCCCTCCCTCAGACCCCAAACTATTTGAGCACCTGCACATTTAGAGCTGGATTCACTGTTCCCCAAGCCCCGGAGAACTAGAATCCTTCCTTGCAAAACCAAGAACAGATTTAAGTATGATGTCAGTCCTCAAATCCCAGGCCTTGCTATGTCAGCATTTGGGTCAGGCCCTGTTTCACGAAGAGATTAGAAAATAAAGCAGACTGGGTGAAGCGGGAAGGGGGAGTGTACTTCATAGTAATGTTGCTATTCTTACAACAATCCCTTCATTGGGGTGGGGAGGGATGTGCTTTTTTGTCCCGGGCTCTTGCTCTGGCATGGGGAACTTGCCTCCATAATCTTCCTTTATGTTCATGCCACCAGACATCAGAAAGGCTGCAGCAACGTGAAACAGAGCAACCTGGGCCTCTGAGTAATTACCAGTTGGCATTTTGCATCAAAGTTCTTTTGCTCACCTAAATACCTCCTATAAATTACCCATCTTCTTGCACAACACTCTGAAGTGCTTTGACACACTCTTCAGTAGGGTACCGCACAGAGATTCCAGTCCCATTGTGCCAAATGCTGTACAGACAAAGACAGTCTGTGCCTTAAAGAGGTTTTAGTTTATGCAAATAAGACAAAGTAACACAAGAAAGAATAGAGTGCAGCAAAGCAGCTGCGGGCAAATGGTATGTTGATTCCATGACACAGCACAGATTTGGCTTTTAGTCTAAAAACCCCAATGTTTCATTCAATTTACACTTTAACCATAAAAATGCACCCATGTCTGGGGAAGAACACAGAAACTGTTTGACAGCTGACAGAGAAACTGCACAACAGCTTGGGAAGAGAAGCAAAGAACATGAAATTCAATCCAACTTTTCAAAAATTCACAGGGCGTAGTAATTACTTATGTAATTGATGCAAATTCCTAACAGAAACTGTTGGTTTAATGCTCATGTTTTTCTGCCTTTGGGGGTGGGCATTTAGACCTAGATCTCACGCAGAATAAGCTCACTCTGAAATTCTGCAAGAAGTAATAACTCTAACAAGAAGAAAGAAGAAAATAGGGAGAAGAAATGGCTGTTCTGCTCTGTAGATTGTTGTATCAAGTTCCTCACTACATCCATATGCAACTCTCCCTAGTCATTAACAGTTGTGTATAGTATGAAAAGGACTTTATCTATCCCATTGAGTAAAACATCAAGTCTTGCTACAAAAATATTAAACTGGAGCTTTTGATGTAACTTCTATAAACCATGTCAAGCGGTAGCTTTGGTCTAGCAGGGAAGAAGAGAGGCTGATCACGTGGGAAGGGAGGCGTAGACTATGCTAACACTAACAGCAATTTTGTTTGCTTGTTCTTTATCTTTTTGCACCGATACAGGTGAGAGGCAATACTGCAGCCAAGTTTTTGCTAAGTTCTAATTCAATAAACAAAGAAATTTAGGGAGTTCGGGGAATATAGCAGCACTGAAAGTTAACATACTAATGTTCTGGCTCACGTGTGAAACTAGAGTCCTCCCAGTGGATTCAATACTTACACGGTGACCCCAATCTCTCACAACTACTCTTGTTTTAGTGGTACTAGCATAGATGATCTCCTAACAACAATGGTGGAACAAGACTGACCTTTAATGTGCCAGGGGTCTGGTAGTAGCAGAAATACACATGTACATGGGAGTGGTTTGCCAACACATATAACAGGGGAAAATATATCTTGTGGATGAAGATGGGAGATCATTGCTGCATTTCCTCTTTTCTCCAACAAGGGCAAAATAAAAGATTTTGACTCGCCACCAACTCACCGGATTGGCTCAGGCTTCAGGTGGTAATTAAGACTGTAGACAAGCTGTTTCTCACTAAACGCTGGCTTCCCTGGTGCCCTCTGGATGTCAAGGTGAGCAGAGTTGCAGAGTGCATGGACGCCAGTATCTGTTCGGCTGGAGATGCAGAACTTGATAGGAACAACGGGTTTTAGGTTCTGCGCTGCCTTCTGAAAGCCAACACGAGATGGACACATGAATAGCGGACTCACTTCAAGCTAGCTAGGAAAAAACATCCTCCTCCTTGCTAACCACATGTCTCCTTACTGCTCACACAGAGAAGTTAATTGGGTTTTACCGTGGGCAGCACAGGGATGGAGAGAGGCCTGTTTGGGGGACTTCTCCTAGCACCAGTGGCTTCTCACCTTTGTCCTGAAATCACCTCAAACAGAACATCCAAAATGCCATGTGAGCTTCCTTACATGTACAAAATCAAGTAAAAAATATTCATCTGCCCATCCTTTGCTTTATATCATTGGGCAAGTGGGAAAGAGGACAGAGAATTACCCATTTAAACCCAGACACCACCCCTGCAATTTACTGCTAAGAACTGGACTCGGATTGCTTCAGCAGCTCTTAAAGATCTGCAGAACCCAAGCCTTAAAGGGATGGAAACAGCACGCAGGGATGTCTGAATGACATCAGCCAAGACGCCTGAAGGAGCTCATGCTGCATCCTTTGATTCCAGTGCAGGCCAGAACGGTGTGAAATACTACGGCTTATTGCTGCAGGCCGAAGTTCTTTTCCATCCACAGTGGGAGCAGGGCTACAGAGGGCAACATGCTTCCATTAATTGTTGAGAGCAGAGGAGGAGCCGGGGGACCAGATAAGTAGTAGCATAGCACTGATGTAATGCATTTATTAGTCCCACTGAGAAATATAAATATAAACAGATCTAAGAATCAAGACACAGCTCATAAAGCATACCAGTAGTTGGCTGACACTGAGCTACCCCAGCAGGTACAAATAACCACCAGACAAACACACGCCACCGGCAGTCACAACGTGGAATTTCCTTATATTCATTGCTTCCACAGTTGCATTAATGCAGGACTTGGCTAATCCTTGAGAGTACTGTTTTCTTCAGGAGCTAGAGTTGCCTTATATTCAGGCGATGTCTCACTCACGCTAAGACCTCTGCCATAGCAAGACTAAAGCAGAAAATTATAAACGTTATTTACACCATCACAGAGTTCGAGCTTATTGGAGCCAAAAGGCCCTAAAATGACACCGCAGCTGAGATGTACTTTAAAAATTAGTTAGCAAACTGTATTGCAACAAGCTGAAGCTTACTTTTCTTAACGCAAGGGGAAGGACAGCCATTGAGACCCTCTAGGTTCTGCACAGGGATTTTGGCACGGATTTGCTGGAGAATCCAGCTGTGGCTAGGATCGTTATTTCCCTTTCCCAACTGTTCCTCTCCACACAGCTGGCTTTTATCCCCACCCTGTTTCTGCCTTTCCATTCTGCCCACTAACAAAGGGCTGGAAAAACAACTGGGTGAATTACTACAGATTCCTGCTGGGAAAGTAAATAAAACCCTGCTAAATGAGTCATTAATATGGTGTCTTTTAATCAAGACGCACACACAAAAGAGAGAGCGCAAAAGAGATGCTTACACGGTTAATTAGATGCTCTGTATTTAAGGGTCTGTCTAGACTGGCCTAAGTTTAGCAAAGCCAGGTGGGTTTTGGTAAGGGACAAACACTGGTAGGTCAGAAACCTTGGTACTCCGAGAACTTACTAATGCAACGTTGAAACCACAGCAGGTCTTACCTACAGTAAGGTTTTAAAGTAGGTTGCTGGAGCACTGCAGAATACAACTTACTTCTTTGCGAGGACAGGCCCTTATACAGAAAAGCCAGTGTAATTTGTTACAGTGAATGAGTGAAGCATATCTGAAAGACTGAAAAACAACAACAACAAAAAAGCAGAAAACCAGATGAATGACCAGAAATTTCCTTCTCTTTCCTATCTCCACTCTTGAGTAGCGAGCCCAGCAGTGGTCTTTATTAGATTTTAATTTGGTAGCAAGAGTCAATAAAGTTTGAACTGCTGACTCACAAATGCCTTCCAGACTCCTACTATTCGAGCAGACAGGATTCTGGGCTCTCAGAAACATACTGTTAAAATGCACAGGGAGGCAAGGAAAAATGTAACTGAGCTGCAGGGGAAGGTCTGGGAAACGGAACAAAAATGACCCTAGCCTTTTCCCCTTCCTAATCCTTCTATTTGGAGTTCACATGTGGTTACAATTAACAATGAAAATCTTTATTTATCACCCTTAAGCAGAGAGAAGCAGACAGAAATTAAATAGTTTTCTGCAGTAGACCTTGGCTTGTGCCTCAGCAATTTGTCTTAAAGCAGAAGCTGCATTTTAAGAGCAAAGTTTCTGCAAAGATATGTTTGGGTTTTGCAGGCTCCTCCCTTCCTCCACCCTCTTCTCCCCCTCCCTTCTCATCAGGCAAAAACCAGCCAGTGGGAACATAGTTGAGTGGGGGTAGAGGGAGGGAGAGAACAGGAGAGAACATGGAAAACATCCTCCTTTCTTGTTATGGGCTTGGAGAAGTTTGGATGCAGCACTCCTTTGGATCCCACGCTGCATCCCATTTTAAGCACTGCATCTGAACAAAGCTGGATAATGGGAACACTGTTTGGATCTCTTCTCCTCTGCCAGCGGGAGTTGAGCCCTGTTGGAGACCAGACTGCAGAGGAAGAGAGGACTGCAGACTCCAAGGCAAATCTGGTTGTCTTCCCCGCTCAGGTCAGCCAATGAATCCACAAAGGTGCAGGACTGAATGACAGGTTCAACAAATGGTATTTTCACAGCTGCCCTTCTCCAGCACAATTGTCCCCCAGGCACACCTCTCCGGAGAGATGACTGAAGGATATATGTGCTGGGCATCCAAGGAGGAATGTGACCACCATCAACAACAAATCTCAGTTTGTGAAAGCTGAAAGCTTTGTGGATTCTTCCTCCAGCCTAACAGGCATGCAGCTGATAATACGCTAACAACTGCTGCCTCCAGTTTCAATTTTAATATTTCATCTATATCCCATCCTAATTAATCTCCTTAAAGAGAGAATTTCTGAACTGCTGAACTTCTTTGCAGGCAATTCAGAAATGACCCCTTCACCTATTTAAATGTCTCCTATCTGTACCATCCACATGTCCTTTGAGCCTATAGGCAGCTGATGGTTTCCTCCTCTGGCTCCTGTCTACTTTGATCTGTTAATATCACCCACACTGAATTTCAAAAAAGATGCGTTACTTACATTTAGTAATTGCTTGGATAGCAACCAGTTTTTCCCGCCCTTTCAGAAAAACAAACCCCTAAAACAAGCAGGCCTTTCATCTGAGGAACTCAAAAGGCTTTACTGCTATTAATCCAGATCCCTACCCTGTTGGGTATCATCTATGGATTCCTATGCGGGAAACTGAGGCAGAAGTTAAGCACTTTACCCATGGGCACCCAGCTAAAAAGCAATATAGAAGATACAGGAATAAAGGAGCTGGATTGTCCTCCCGTGTGCTCAGAGTTTACAGGTCTCTGCTCCCTTCTTTAAGCCACAGGGCATGCAAATATTCTTCTTTTTACCAGGTGTTACAAACACTGAAATCTTGGCTTGGCACCTACTGAAGGCCTTTCATTGAGCCAGATCTCATCCATTTTCATTTAGTCTTTACTTCCCGAGTCACAGTCTTTCCAGACGACCCTATTCCTGGAGCAGCATCAAGGATCCCAGGGTGTCAGTTTATACCTCTAACACCCTGCATACCAGTGATGCAGGGAAAAGTATTACTTGCATTTAGTAGGTCTGTTCTGCTAACAGGTTTCATTCACTAAGCACTTCCATATTTTGAATCACGCTGAAATTTCCACTGTTGTGTGCCAGGATGATATGGATCCACATTCCAGATCGCTATTACTACTCGCAGCTCTGTTCTCTTCTCACTCTGTACAAACGCTGGAGCGGTGATACGAAGAACAGGCCCATTAATGTATACCACCTACGGCAGGGAAGCAAAAGTTCATCCACTTCTCTCCCTGAAGTCTGAATAAAAAAATCCTCAAGATACTCAGCCATCTACCTCTACAGAGCATCTGGGAACCACAAAAGGAACCTGTGAAATCAATTGTGGATGGGTGTGTTCAAGAGAAACTGTGCATTAGGAGTGTTTTGGAAAAGTAAGGGTCTGTTTCGCTTTCACAGCAGCTGGATTGCTTACTGGTTTCATCATGCACAACGGCATTAGTTGCACAGACACAAGGGATTGCACTGTGTTGCCAGGGATGCTGCACGATTTATAAGTTGCTGTGTTCTAATAAATAATAACGTGCAAGCTTCTGGTTGCAAGTCATCACAGCCTCACTGACTCAATGGGTGCTATGTCAACTGAAACTAATTAAAAATCTAACTCATTTTTAGTGGAATAGATAAAAGTCAAAGTGAAAGCCAGGAAGAAAAAGCTGAGAAAGTGGCTTCTGCTAGAAGAAAGGGTTTCCAAAGCAATCTCCTATGCCACTGAAATTATTATCCAAACAGGGGTTGAAGATGACAGTTCTCTGCATCCATTTTCAGGGTTTTTTTTCTTTTTTTTTGGGGGGGGGAGGTTGTACCAAAGCTGCCTTGCATAGTAAGGAGTTTGTGTATGTTCTCTTTCTCTCCTCTCCTACTGCCCCTCTTCCTTTCACGAGGAATAATATCTGGCCTTAGCACAAGGCTGCTGGCCAAAGCAGAGCTTCGTGTGGGGAAGATTAGTTTTGGGCAGCATTCACCAGCACAATGGGAAACAGCACACTCAGGAGATGGTTCAAACCAAACATAAAAGGGAACTCAATCCTGTAGATCCTAGCAGGCCTCGCATATGGTACCTGTTAGCACAAGCAACAGCTACTCACTTTAGCAAAAGGTGCTACACAGGAGATCTTCCTTTACAGTAGGGACGTTTGTAAGAATTGAGACTAGAGCACAAAGTCCGGCACCTTGTAAGGTTCCACAAGGAACTGGAGGGAGCCAAGTCACAGGATTCAAACTTCCCCATCTGGGGAAGCAAGGTCTGGAATTTTGGTTTGGACCCACCACTAGCAGGCTGGGCTTCCAAGTGCTTCAAGACAAAGACGTTGTCTCCGAGAAAGAAAGAAAGCTGTCTGCAAAGCTCACCCCCCTCAAAGATATTTTAAAAGCTCCTTCAAATATCTACATCTGTCCCCGAACTAAAACAAGTCTCCATTTCCTCCAGTCAGTCCCAGGGCTCTGTTACGTAGCAGTGCTGAGGACTACAAACGCTTCCGTGTCCTGTATTGATACAGTGCTTTATGGTGACAAAGGGTTATAGGCAGGCCTTCTGCTCAGCTCCAGTCCAGCAATTTTACCTTACCACACAGAGGGCTGCAGTACACACTCACACACCAGTTGTTGAAACACAAGGTCTACACCTCAGGTTATTTGCTTGTCTGTAACTGCAAACAAATGCCTGAACATATTTAGACTACAAAAAGGATCTCATTACAGATTTAATTTTGCCCTTCCCTTCAGTTGCCTTCCTGGCTTTGGAAAGTTGTGAAGTTCAAGGCTGCACAGAAATGAAGGAAGATAAATTCCTACAGGCCCCAGAAGTTTTCTATTAAAGTTGCTTTAAGACTTCCCATGTGGTTCTAATAGACACAGCCCTGCTCAGCAGTGCCCAGCATCAATACCACCACATGAAAGCAAAGCACATATCCCAGAACTGGCCTGCAAAGTGCTGATACTGTGAAAAGACAACACCAAATAAGTTTATCTTTTTCTTTTTTTCTTCTTCTTTTCTCCTTTAATCACGCATCCTACCCATTCGCCTATTAAAACAAAGTTACTCAGATAATGCAAAACAACTGCTGGGCTCACCCAAAGTCCGGCGCCTGGGGCTGAGACACTGGATGGTTCAGAGGATTAGATAAACGAGATCGAAAGTCCTTTGGGGCTCTTCTTTCAAGATCTGCACAATATTTATACACTTTCTGCACAATGGTCTCAGGCAGGAAGCCATACAAATACACCCTGAGAACTCTTACTCAAACCATAATTCATCACACTTTCCTTCTGCAGACTGCTTAGCAAGAGCATGCAAGAACTATCACCCTCACAAGGCGCAGTGTAGAAATGTCTTGGCCAGGGTCACAGAGTGGCTGGGTGGGACAGCAGGTCTGCTCCCAGACCAGCTCTTCAACAGCTCTGCTCCTTCACACCACCACGATTGTAGCTAATGCAGGCAGAGCGCAGGCTATCACAAACAAGCACGATGGGCACACCACCTTCAAACTGCTAGTTTGTGATCTCAGGTTAGACAGTCTGACCAAAAATGAGAATCGAGTAACTGAAAAGCATGATCTGACCTAAAGCAATCAGTTTCAACCTCTTCAACAATCTCTTGTCTTCTAAATGGGCACAAGCTTCATTTTGAACTACATGATGCTTCTAAGACGAGACAAAAATAACGCAGCTTCCTTTTGATTCCTGCCCTGCACGGGAACGTGGGATTCACCGGCACTGCTCAAATAAACGCAGCTCAGCAGCAGCTTGTAACTAAATTACAATTGGGTTACACAAACATCTAGGTGTGCTGAGCATTTACCCTATGCAAGTGACCCACTTTCTACTCGCTGGTGTAACAGGGGGTCTTTTGCACTCCTATTGCGCACTCACTCCGAGCCAAACAGCACTTTGGTCCTGAAAGCCATTCTTACATTCTGGGGAAGTCCCTGGGAGCAGCGCAAGAACAACAGTGATGACAGGATCATACCTTTTTTCCCCGGCATATTAGAAGAACTCCAGAAGAACGGAAACTAAGCATTTTTTTAATTTGGAACAATGGATATCCTGCTGTGCTTTGTTCTGTGTCTGAAAACATCTATTAGAGACATCCTCTCCCACAAGGATACAACATCTAGTTTCTAAATCTATAAAGGACTTGGACATGAACTAGAAGCAGAGCAGCTAAGCCTGCTCAGAACTGAGGCAGTTCTAAGAACGAGTGGAAGCAAAGCCACAAGTGCTAATGAAGCTCACATGCTTAAGTACCTTCAGGTGGGCCAGCACCTGAGCAGGGGCTCTCAGAATCATAGTTCTGGACTTGGACACCTCAATTTCAAGTCTCATTGGAGAGTTCACATCTTTTTCAGGATCAGGATCTTAATGTCTCTGACTTCACCCTGACCTATTTCTCCTACCTGTATACTGACATAATTTCTAAAGCACTTTGACTGTTTTGAATATTACAGTGTTTAGCACTATGCAAGTGTCTTTTATTGAGTGTCAGTCTAAAAATAGTATTTTTCCTTGATAATATCCGTAGCTCAACAATGTGACCCTAGAAGTTTCATTTTAATGAAAATATGATTAGCAAGGGCCTACCTCCAAATAATTCTGGACTCCAACCATTGACTGATCATTCGAAGTCTCCATAACCCCGCTGCAGAGCGAAACAAATACAATAGTTATTGATATGTGTCAAGACCCAAGGACTTGACACAGAGTCCACCAACACATCCAGAAGTTAATGGGGGACAGTCATCCAACAGTTTTCTATTGAGTGACCTGGATCTTTTTACAGAATTTGCAGGGACCAAATACTTTGATGCATGGACAGGAAAACAGATGCAGTGGTTATTTGCAAGAAAGGAGGCTGGAAATAAAAATCATCCTTCAAATGTTACTCTCTGGACTAGCCCTTCAGATGGAGGCTGACGTGTTGGGAAGATAAGGCAGACAAATCACACTAGAAAAGAGTTTGCAGATAAAGCTATTTCAGGGCCAGGAGTTGGTTGCCAGTTGCAGGTCCCCTTCTTGCAGGCCCTGCGGATGTCATAAAGGGGCTAAAAGACCACGAAAACGGTTTGTGAAGAGCTTCCTTCTCTACTACAGAAGTCACAGCCGTTCACAAAAGCTGCTGAAGTGCAGAGAGATACGTCCCGAGGCTAAACCCAACCTACCTGTAACTACTCTGAGTAATTTAGGTCAGTACCCACAGTGACACAGACCGTGCACTGCAAAAGAATTGTGGGGTTTGGCATATGGTGGTATTATTCTGTAAAATCCTCATGAAGATAGGCACAATTCCATGAGCTGGAGCTGCACAAGTTCTCCCACACGCTTTTTTTTTTTTTTAAATGTAAACAATGTGGGATGTTTAAGGCCTGGGGAAACCCAACCTCAGCCAACCTCCTGCAGACTCACAGCCCACAGATCGCTTCACCTGCATCTCTCGAGCAGCGCAGGTATCTGAACCACTGAGAACTGGCCACACCACTGCAGGAAATACAGTAACTTGCTTCCCCCCCCCTCAGCCTGAGATCCCAAGTTTGCCGCCTTCTCTGTCCTTTGATGTTTTCTCTTTGCCCATTTTATGCATTTCCTGCCCAAACCATCCCCTTCCTCACGCTTACACGCAACAGCAGAAAGCGGAGTCCAGCTCCCTGCCCGCTCTCACCTACTCAGCAAGGGATTTATCACTTACCAAAACCACGGCCCTCACCCATCCTTTTCCCAACCGCCGCCTTGTAGCTCTCCCATCCCCACCCACGGCTAACCCCCCCGGGGCCGCAACAGGCGCTGGTTTACTTCCACCGCACGTGGCTGACGAGGCAGCTGAGGCACCTACCTATATTTAGTGCCAAAGTACTGAAAGAACACTAGGTACCGGGTTGGGGAAGAAACCATCTTTGCTGCCTACAGCCCTACGGCGGAGGCTCTAGGTCCGGCGCAGCGGGCACCCCCCGCGCTCCCCAGCGCGCTGCTGGCGGCGGGGGACGCCGGCGGGACCCCGGGGCAG